AGTAAAGTAAACTGGCCCATGCGTTGTTTACGTGGAGTCGCGAGCGAGACACACCCCGGGGTCAAAGTATCACTTCGAAATAGGGCGCCAGGTCACGCGTGATGGTGAGGCGTTCGTCTTTCCGGTTCATCTTTGGACTTTTAAAATTTATCCAAAATGTCTCAAGAGTTTTGCGCGTTGATGTTTTCGATTCCTGCTCTAGGATCTGCACAGTCACTTCAAAATCATCGCCGTTGTGCTTTTGTGCCCTATGCGTACCTAGAGAAGTGTTTAAATGGATTTTAGCTTTTCCATCTAGATGTTCTTTTATGTGGACACAAAGTGGTCTACCCGTTTCCCCAATATATTCCTGGCCTCATGGGTTACATGAGATCAAGTATATTATACCTAAACTCATGCAATCCGCGTCTCTCCCGTTAGGACAGATCATACTGTTTTCTGAGCTGCATAAACGATCATAGGGACGGTTTTGAACTAACTGGCGGCGTAGGGTATTGAGTACACAATTACATAAATAATTTGGAAATTATGTAACGATTATTGGCATCCCACCCAATACCCTACGCCGTCAGTTAGTTCGAAACCGTTCCTATGATCGTTCGTGCAGCTCAAAAAACTGTATGATCTGTCCTAACGGGAGAGACGGGGATTGCATGAGTTTAGGTATAATATACTTGATCTCATGTAATGCATGCGGCGAGGAATATATCGGGGAAACGGGTAGACCACTTTGTGTCCGCATAAAAGAACATCTAGATGGGAAAGCTAAAATCCGTTTAAACACCCCCTCTAGGTACGCATAGGGCACAAAAGCACAACGGCGATGATTTTGAAGTGAATGTGCGGATCCTAGCACCGGAATCAAAAGCATCAACGCGCAATTTCAAAAATCCAAAGATGAACCGGAAGGACGAATGCCTCACTATCACGCGTGACCTGGCGCCCTATTTCAAAATGATATTTTGACCCCGGGGCGTGTCTTGCTCGCGACTCCACGAAAACAACGCGTGGGCCAGTCCTGCACGTAACATCACGGTGAGTGGCCTTTCTGTTCAATGTGGCGTCTATTTGAAAATTTGATCTTCATTAATACTTTAACCTTTCTTTTTCACCGAATAATATTTCTGTTCAATGTGGCGTCTATTTGAAAATTTGATCTTCATTAATACTTTAACCTTTCTTTTTCACCGAATAATAAAAAATATTCTAATATAAAATACGTCCAGGCTCTGAGGAAGGCGAAGTCGCCGAAACGTCAGCCATCGATCAATAACATCAAAAAAGCTAGCAGAAGAGTTAGTCGGATTCAAGAGACATTATTGTTATTAATATTTTCGGCACTATTATTATTACTACTATTATTAGCATTATTATTATTATTATTCCTATTATTACACGATTTGTCGTTACATCAACTTTGCCGATCCCAGCAGTCTATGCTTTCGATTCGTTTTCCTCGTATTCGTTTCCACAGAGGTCTTCGAACATTTTGCGCGTTTTTTCTGCTGCTGTTTGAAGATTTCATATTCTTTATGAATGTTGGAGAATGCTGGACGATTCAATTTCTCTTGCAATCATGGGAATAGCCGAGCCAAGGCGCGGATCCGAGAAGATCATTGGGGAAAGGGTCAAACCAGTACCTTGCTTTCTGATGGACTGCATCACTAACCGCTCTACCTGGCTGACCATATAGAAGTTAGAGAATTAAGCAGCGAAAATCCTCAGATGGATATTTGAGGCAACAAATCGAAATCGAATTTGTGACGCCATTTCGAGGCATGTTCGAGAAAATCCTGCAAGACCGCTAACACGAGAAAGTTGGGCAATGAGTAGAGCGGTATAAATCAATCAGTAGCTTGAATCGCCTTCTGAAGCACTCAAACAATCGGTGACGCAAAGTTCCTCGTTCGCGAAAAAAAAAGGCAAGGTTGATTATAACATTTTGTACTTTAGAAACCAAAACTTAAGCACTTTTTCAACTTAACTTCTGCTAACTCGCTCTCTTTGGCAAAATGAAATCGTTTGACGATCGAAAAATAGTAGTCGTAGACTCGTTCTCGAGACTACCTCATGCACTGATTTTCAATACTTCAAAATACACAGCGCGTGTAGCTCAGTGGTCAGTGGTGGCTTGCAATACACATGTGTTCGAATACGCGCGCAGGCGGGTTGGCATTGTGGTATCAGACCTGTTTGGAAAGATAACAGCACCGACGCGATACATCGGTAAACCACTGCGCTCATTCTAAAGACCTGATATGCATTTAATCATCTCTAATGATGCCTGATGACGTCGAATACATGCGACATCCCTCAGGGATTGATCAACGCCAAGAGCTTCATCTTTTATCCTTTATCCTTCAAAATATTTGCATAAGGTATTAACTTCTTCATTTACCGCCTATTCTTTTCCCATGGCAGGGTACGATGTGAAGTATAACCACAAGAATGCTGAGATATGAGCAAAACGTAGAACTTCAGTTGGGCTTAGAACCTTTGATTACCATTATCGTAGGCCCACGTACTATCAACCACGCCACCAGAGACCCTTATTTTGCCTTCTCTCAGCTGTGTTTTTAATCTGTCGCTGCTATATACCATATACTATACTCCACCAGCAATCAGTGGTCAACGAGAAAGCAAGCTGAGAGAAAAGGAAAGCAAGAGCTCCAGTTGACGTGGAGGATAGCACGTGAGATCTCGGTTAGGGTAATCACGGGTTTGAAATCCAACTGAATCAAACTCCGGGTTCTGCTCATACATGGTGCATCCATTGTGTTCGTACTTCTACAATGTTTTTCTTTGATGCGGCTGATCATATTTGGTTCACAATACCTTAAACAAATTAATAACAACACGAAATTGAAAAACTATTCGAGCTCAGGCAGATCGCTTTGTGAAAGTGCTGCATTGAACATTTCCCCTTAGTTATTTCTCTCGGTTTGGAAAAAATGTGATAACATATTGGACGCAATGACTTGACAGTTATAATTTCACCGACATCTGCTGTCATTTGGTTTCGTACCTTAGTGGACACCGTGGCAAAGTTTGGCTTCAACTTCTTCGTAGATTGACGCAACTCGTCGGCTTCACGTTTACCACGTCGAAAACGTTCAGCACGGTTGACGACAAAATCATCACAGACGGCCTGAAGCAAACATCCTATCAACCCATATTTTGAGCAAAAATGAGTGTACTAACCCAAATTTACTCCCAAATAATCTGGAAACATTTCAAGATTGTTTTTCCTACAAGATTGCTACCACTTATTTTATCTCAAAACTCTTGAATGAAGAAAATATAATAATAAGGCATCGAAGCAATAATGGTAGACTAGAATACAGTAAAAAATGACGTATGGCAAAGAATGATCGGTTTATCAGCAAAGATTGTCCTGCTAGAGATCGACCTTGACAGAGCGCTCCGAGAATCATGAGCCATCACAGCAGGCCGACATTGTCTGTTCATTGCTGTCTCACACCCTTGCCGTCTTCATTGTACTTGTTGTTATTGTAGTTGGACGAATATCGATTAACATGAACGGTCATCTATCAATTGATTAATATCACAATGATGTGATTACTAAGCATTATGTTCTAAAAGAGCCAGTTTCTCCACTCAAGTATGGAAGCTCACCTTCAGCTTTCCTAGCATGTTTTCTTTTCAGTGCAGGTCGCTACAGATTTGTAATTGTGTGATTTTTCTGAGCATAAAGTAACACGCTATACAAATATGTTACAGGACAAAAAGAAACCGAAACCTCATCTCCTTCAGTCATGTCATTCCTTGGAAAAACGATATTACCTCGTCTGGTGTGGTTAGACGGAAAAGTGCACGAGAACCTGCCGATCAAAATCGGTAGCGATGGAACCATCACGGAAATCGGTGGCACAATACCGTATGACGTCGTACGACTTCCGGACGAGGTAATAGAATCTTCCCACTACAGTTTTAAGAAACGGTACTAATCCTAAGGTCAAAGTTCAATACGTTTCTGTGTAACACAGCTTCATACGGGAAAGAATTATATACGGCATGCTCTCCTATTCAACTTTGGTTACCTTTGATGAGATATTTTTAATTTACAAGACTGTTTCAATATCATTCAGCTCGAGCTCAATAATGTCGCAGAATATTAACCTATGAAATACCAAAAATGATATATAAAAATATGAGGATGAACGTAGTTGGAAACTCGCGTTCTGGATTTTTGGACTGCTCATGAACCGCCGAAAAGTGTCATTATCACAATTCCGTTGCATGAAATATGCTCAGACCCACTTATCTCTTATCTCATGGCTCTCTGTCTTGACCGGATCACTATCACTAGGCAATGTGATGGTGGAACAGGACTCCTTTCATGCTTCTCGTCCTTTTCCTAGGATCTACCACTACGACAAAGTTAAAGCAGCATTCTGTGAGCTTGTAGATGGTAAGCTAGGATAAATTTCCAAGCATCAGTAGGCCACATTTCACTTCTTTCAGTCTCAAATCCATTGATGAGATTACTTCGAAATTTGTCATCCAACATTAAGTTGTAGTGCCTACAGCGTGTAAGGGCAAGGCATGGGATTGTTTAGCATGGATCAGCCTCAACTGTGGGCAAAAGAAAGAGTTCAAGAGTGAAATCGCCATTATAAAAGTTCTGAAGCCTTCGAATATATTGTACGGTAGTGAATGCTTCAATCGCCTGTACCTATCTCTAATCTTTTCTCTCTTTGGTGTTTCACATCGACCAAGCTGGGATTCGCAGCAAAGCTACACAAAAAAATGTCGCAAGGATAGGATTTGAGAGACGGAGTTATAAAAAGTTATGCTTTTTCAGCTAACATTATACGATAACAGTACAAATAGTAATGGTCAAGTGAAAACAACACATTGTGTAAGACTGTTAAGTTGTTGGCGTAATATTGTTATATGGAGCTTGAGCACAACCGTCAAAGGGAAATTTATATGAGCCATGCTGGAATAACTAGTGGAAATTTCATATCCTTCTACCTGGATTTGTCAACGCTCACTCGCACGCTTTTCATCGGCACCTACGCGGTAGGAGTGAGATCGGCGGAAAAACGGCGGATACGTTCTGGAAGTGGAGAGACAACATGTACGGACTGGTGGACGGTGTCACAAAAGAGAAGTTGTACGAGGTGAGCTTCATGATGACACCTTTTTTGTTAAGACGTTTGCGTAGGGCTTATTTTTAGTTTTTCTACTTTGGTAACACTCGTAAGTTATTGCATTTGTCAAAAGACTGCTAAAGCGATTGAGCTGAGAGACAAGCGAATCGAAGGACCCGCATGGTGTGGTGGCAAACGCGTTACTCCCCGGAAAGGACAACAACGCGTTCGTTCCCCACCGCAGATACCTGCGGTTCGGAGTTTTGCAAATATCTCAGCAATCTTGTGGTTGTATGTCGCTTAATACCCTGCCATTGAAATTATAGAAGGCAGAAAATAAAAAGTAAAACATTACTTTCCAATAGTTTTTCAGTTTAATGTTATCCCAGTTGCAAAACAGAATCACTTTCAAACCTAAACTCCTTCAGGCTCAAAATTTCAAAAAGCAAAAAAAAAACGATTTTGTAAATTTCAAACGCAATTACGGTGACCGCTGTCATCAATCGGAGTCACCATCGCTTGGCATTTTCGAACATGAACTTTGATAAAGAACGAAGAGAAATGCGATAGTAATAGTGAATAAGCTCCAGAACGTTCTAATTTCGTCGTAGTGAAAAAATAAAAGCGCATAAGGTGCAGTGGTCAGAGGCGCCCTCCAATACACATGTGGGATCTATACCCGCGCACGTGGCTCACCAAACCTTCCATCCCTCCCGGGTCAGTAGGATAACTTGGTACCAAACTTGTCTGGGAGGATAGCAGCTCTGGCTCGATACATCGGTACGCCACCGCGAGTCATTGTAAAGGTCAGATATGCATTCAATCACCTCCAATGACACCTAATGAAGTCGAATGCATGGCACATCCCTCAGGGATTGATCAACGCTGAGAGCTTTATTTTTTTAACAGAATGAAAATTATACATTTTTTCAATAATGTTTAGATTATACTGATTTTAATCTCGACTATAAGTTCGTTATGATTTAAACTATGTTTATTTGAAGTCGAAATGGACAGTAATTTTCGGATGCCAACGCATTACAATCAATAAATATCAAGAAGGTGCTAACAAATAACGAAGGCGAGCCTTTTTTTGTCAGCGGTTTTGTTTAGGATGACTTTTTCATTTCTTATATTGTTATTTATCGAGTAACTCTAACGTGCAACACTGAACTCAATCCGTGTAGGTCACGTACTAGAGCTGGAACATGAAATCTGCCACACTCCTGGTATTGTGCTCTTTAACAATTGTTTTGACAGGAATGTGGCAGAAGAAAATCTGCTGTGGCATTGATTCACTCTAAGATAGATGGGTTAAGATGGATAGGTGGTTGGCAATATCGGACTCGTTCCGCGTTTCCATAATTCCGTTGAGAGACCAACTGTCGTTGTGGATCAGTTCGATACCCAAGAACAGCCGTTGGCTAAAGTGAGGCGGTAGGCTGAGCGAGAACTAATTCGAACAGGCGACCATATTTGTGCACTACCTCATGATTTCTGCTTAGCCTAAACATGGTAGATTTCATTGTTTCTTCGCTGGCAAACGGACCCAAAACCGATTGGAACATGGAATCGAGAAGCTTTTATTTCCAAATAGCGCAGTGCATTCCCTGAAAATGTTCCTGCGAAATATAATCATGATGAAACAAGACCAGAAACAGCTATCCACTGTTTTCCTTTTCGCTTCAAGAAAACTGAAATTTCAGTACTGTTTGACGACTTTTCGTGAGATGCTTGGTGCTGGAATTACTACCGTTGGTGAATTTCACTACGTCCATCACGGCACGGGGAAGTTCAATTTGGACGAAGTGGTGCTAAGGGCAGCCGAGGATGTCGGCATACGGCTCACTCTTATCCAGGTCTACCGATCGACTCACTCTTCATTGCATGAAGCACAAAAGGTTTCTATTCAGACATTCTACGAAGCAGCCGGGTTCGATCGCCCTCCTCTGCATCCAGTGCAGAAGTGTTTCGTCTCTACTTATGAGGATTTTGTTGGCAGCGTTAATGAATTGCTGGCACGCACCAGCAAGACAATCACCATTGCAATAGCAGGCATGCCCTTTCTCCCAAATCTAAATTTTTTGTCACACTTTGCTACTTCCGACCTACATCCGAAGTAATTTCTTGTTCCGAAATATCTTTATTATTACATAGGAAGTTGGTGAACAACACGACACAGTTAAGAATTATGAAATTTATATTCACTATGATGACCTGACACCTACCGTCCGGAGTACTGCAAATATCTCAGCATCATTTTGGTTGTATCACACGTAATACCCTACCGTGGAAAATTGTAGAAAATTGTGGAAAACGATATTCGACATTGAGTCGTAAATTATGAAACACTTCAAGCATAATCAACAATGTCTAACTCTTTGTTTAAAGCCTATTCTTTTTTTTTTCCTAACACGGTATTATATGGAATGCAACCACAAGGGTGCTGAGATATGAGAAAAACTCGAAACCTGAGCTAGGCTTCAAATCCGGAACTACACTTTCCTTGGTTCATGTGTTGTCCACGTCACCACTGAAAGTTAAAACATTGTGCAGTAACTGCCACGACCGACTTTCTATTAACCTCGGCATTGATCAAGTGATTTTCTTTATATTTTTGTTGAGCAAACGCGAGGTGTTACTATTCTTTGTTCACGATTAAGCTGACGTTTCGGCGGATTTCGCCTTCTTCAGAGCCTGGAAAGGTCAAGTTGATAGCAACTCACTCGGCCAGACGCCTCCATAACCAAACAAAAAAACTCCAAACCAAGATTTCAATCACTTGAACACAGCTTTGCATACTCACCGCTTTCTATGAGGTTTCCACTAAGTATGTCACGTAGAGACCAACCGCACAGAAATCACGTGGAAGTATAATGTGCCCCTCACATCAGAAAAGCAGTTTTATATACTGCCCTATATCACGCGTGATAATGAGGCATTCTTCCCTGCGGTTCATTTTCGGATTTCTGGAATTAATTCCAGAAATCTGCTTTTCTGATGTGAGGGGCACATTATACTTCCACGTGATTTCTGTGCGGTTGGTCTCTACGTGACATACTTAGTGGAAACCTCATAGGAAGCGGCTCTGAGGAAGGCGAAATCCGCCGAAACGTCAGCTTAATCGTGAACAAAGAATAGTAACACCTCGCGTTTGCTCAACAAAAATATGAAGAAAATCACTTAAAACATTGTGATTGACTGCACCTTTAGCTTAACTTGGTTCAATGCCGATTTGTACTCCACAGATCACACCCATTGGTTGACGATTGATTGATGATGGCATCGTTAGTGTAAAAAAACGGGTTGAGGGAAAGACAAAACACGAGTCTCGGTTGGTGTAGTGGATAGCTCGTCAGCCCCTGAAAAGGGTAATCATGGGTTGGAAGCCCATCTGAGGTTTCTAGTTTTTCCCATGCCTCAGCATGCTTAATAATCAACAAAGTTTAACCACACGTTAAGGTGTTAGTCAATAAGACATCGATTAAAGCTTTCACTTTAGCTCACTCTGCACGAGCTGTTAGCTTTGAAAATATCAAGAAACTACACGACTTAGCCATGAAAAGACAGCTGGCTTTTCACATCCACCTTGAAGAACAGCCGAAAGAAATTGAGGACTGTATGCGGCACCTGGGAGAAAGGACCGTAAGTTTCAATACTTGCAGAATAACATGTGAAGAAGATCTTTTTGTCAATATAGTTGGGTGGAAAAGTGTGGAGTCAAAGAAGTAGTGACTTCACTATTCATTCTGGGACTAGTCACCGTGGATTTATTAATGTTAAGAGATTATCGTGAAAGGAATTCAATAACGCGCATTCCAAGAAGACTAGGGAAGCAGAATGAATGGATAAAACATGGAGACGAGGAAAACATTTGTTGTTTTCCAGAGCCCGTCCGATTTCCTACTTCAGAATCTGAATATTAACAAATTATTTTCGGCCGTTCATGCTACATTCACTTCGCAGGCAAACGTGAAGAAGTTCGCTCAGAATGGAGCGAACACCGTTATCTGCCCTTGTACTGAAGGTACGTTGGTACTGTTATTTATACGACAGACAAGTAGAAGATCTGGAAGTTTTCTTACCATTTACGAGCCGACACAAGATTGTTAAACAATATTTATATTATTTCTGTTATCAATGCACAGCAAATTTTTCGTTTTCAGTGAAGTTGCGAGTGATGTGTGCGAAAATATGAGTTAGAACTTTATTATGCGTCGAAGTGTATCCTTCTCCTAACGATTTACCGCCTCATCATGGCTGGGAGGTGCTCCTGGGTGTTGGACTGTAATGTACAACTGGAGATTCATCCTCTGGCAGGGTCTCCCAAGCTGAGAAGAAATCCGGCGTTTCCATCAGAAAACCTAGCTAGGAGGAAACGAACACCAGGATCCATACCGTCTCGGTATCAATTTCGCATGGTGGCAAATCTCCCTCTGTTCCACAAGGGCTGCGACTGCTTGTGGTAGTGAAGACTTTGGGCAGACTTTGGCCAGGTTGACCTCGGGATTCCAGGGAACCACAGTGGCTTAACCACCAAATCTCCGAAAAGCGGAGATTATTCTGGACCCCACACAACCAATGAGGACGAGCCATTCAAGTATTCAAGTCTTAAGAAGTAGACCCTTGATTTAACAAGCTACATATTACTTTCTTAGGCTGCGAACAATTTACTACTCCTCGATATTTTGGCCAAAAACATAGAAATTAATATTGTATAAGAACTTTGTGTCAACTCATAAAGAATACAAGAGCTTGACAATGTCGCTTAATCCTCAAATTTGCTTGATGTAGTCAACCCTTAAATCATTTTCAAGGATAGAATGTACGACAAGGATCTGAAAAAGTTTAAGGCTACCTGGGCGATGGCATCCCACATGTGATTGACAATCAATATATTGCTTTCGGAACCGATTGCAACAATCGGATCGGATTCCTCGAAGAAATGAGATGGGCATGTTATTCACAGCAGGTTTGTCACACAGTACAAAACCGCCATCGCAGGATCATCTACCCACTGGATCATTCCAGATGCGCCATAATTCTCGCAGTGTGGCTGGACTGTCGGCGAATCGTCTTCTTCACTGCGCCACAGCTGGTGGTGCGCGGTCACTTGCTCTCGATAGTGTTGTCGGCAGTATCGAGGCTAGTTCATAACCTATAGCTTCGTAAAAAAAATTTAAGGACCACTAGATAATGAATAAGTTAACTTAGAGACTCGCCACTTAGCTCTTATTTTAATGTATTAATGCTCGAGATTTTCATATCAGGAACTTGAAGAGATTTTTATGGTCCTACACATCGATAATTCTTTTTAAATCATCAGCTTACTATGAGGTGATTCACATTTCATTCACAAGGAGCCTATGGCGAAATATTATTATTAAAACTTAAGTCATCACCAATCTGTTTCGAGAAGAGGCATGGTGGATTTTCCTGAAAATTCTACGGCAAAGGTATGGAATAGAACGGGTAGAACAAAGAAAGTAACAGCGATTTGATGTGAATGATAGACAAATTCGAATCATCCTAATCTAAGGACACTTGTTTAACGTCAGAGCGTCGACGACCATCGAGACGACCTATGCACAATCCAAACAGATAGGGTGCGATAGAGTGCTTTCTGGTCCTATGTGACTTAGTTCACTTGAATGTACGGAAACAGTTGAGTTCTACTAGAGTGCGCTGCACACCGTTTATCCCAAAGCCATCTAACCCGCACTTGTTCCAGTTGCTTCAAAGCAGCACAATGTGTGCACTTAAGTGTTATAAATTGTATATCCTCCCTCACCTACTTCTTGTAGCAGTAGCTTCAAGTGTAGCAGTGGCTAGCAAGTAGATCTAGAATCTGGCTAAAAAAGATGGGCTACCCTGGATAACTACGGTGAAGGTATTGCGGGTCAAAGGTTTACTCAGTATAAAGAAGGCCACCTTTAAAACGTGGTCCATGTTGAGAATGACTTATGTTGTAAACTAATATATGGCATTTGTCATAGACTTAAAAATATCGATGCAATTTAGGTAGACAAGCAACTAGATTTCGTTTCGTTCAACTTGTGTTCCCCTCTTCTCGCGGGTCTCACGGCCGAAACCATCATCGACGGTGTGGTCTTCAGCTGCGACAATCGCGAAATCAAAAGGGTCGTTGTCGCCGGAATCACACGATTTTCACAGTAAGACTCGCAAACGAAAACCCGTCAGATTTCCATATTTCCATCAGAAGCGGTAGTTATGTCTAGATGTACCGATCATGTTGTAGTCAAAAATATTCTTGCGATCCCCTTTACAATAGAAACAATACAGTTGCAAATGAAGTTATTAATATCAGCGAATAAGACGGTCATAACAAATTCCCTAAATCCAAGTTCTCGACACTAGGATGTTACTGTTTATACATTTATATTTTGATACTCAACCATAATTCCGTGGTTTTTATTCGAAATTAGACACTCCTTCGATAAAAGGATAAATACCACATACCTTTCCACAGTAGTCCACACACACGTCAATGGTGCAACGAATTCGAACTCGACGTGAGCCATCGAAGCGGAACACCTAAACTTTCTAGTATTTACCGTGAAATTGTCTATATACTGCTCTTATGGAGAATGAGAAACCGATTTTATTTCCTTAAAGATACAAACACTTTTCACTAGTTCTTAAATGCTAATTTTGTATCACATTTGAAACCTTTAAGAGGTCCCAGTTACTCCAGTTTAGGCGATCTGTGAAGTTTCAGCAGCTTCTAGAAAAGAAAAGACAACCAGCGATGCAAGCAAAAATGGAAAAATCACAAAACTGAATATTGCCAACCTGTTCAGAGGTGGCGTAATTCGCACCGTATGACAGGTCACCTTCCGGTCACTTGGACGCTTCCGCATAGTTAAAGGTGAAAACTAGGTGAAACCGCTAACGCAAAGCCAGCTAACACTTTCCTAGTTGCACTGATACATAAATAAAGGATAAAGCTCTCGGCGTTGACCAATCCTTGAGGGATGCGCCATGCAATCGACTTCATTAGGTGTCGTTGGAGGTGATAGAATGCATATCTGGCCTTTACAATGATTCGCGGTAACCTTTCGATTTATCGAGCCAGTGCTGCTATCCTTCCAGACAAGTCTGGTACCAATTTGTCGACCCCGGAAGGACGGAAGGCTTGGTGGGTCATGGGCGCGGAGATCGATTCCACGTGTGCGTCGCAGTGGCACCTCTAACCACTGCGCCACACGCGCCCTGATGCTTACATGTACATATATATATATATGCTCTTGCTCGCGACAGTGAAAAATGGATGAATGATTTGCTGATGCCCGCTCGAGTTACTCTACGATTAACGGGATTACAGGTGATACAGGTGAAAAAGTCTTCCAAATCGACAACTATGGTGGCATTCGTAATTCAGAATCGGATGAAGGGCTAACAAATGATGGTTTTAAATTCCTCTTTAGATAAATAGGCTTTTCCTAAAGATAGTTCAGATGCGTTTTTTTCAATGTTGCCGAATATTAGTATTTTTCAGTAATGGATTTGTTTAATAGACTTAGCAGAGGGCGGATACCACTGTGGTAGTGATGCCCGTCATGACGAGCATAGTACTAGTTCGATCACATTCCGGGCCAACCAAGCCCCTCATCACTCCGGGGTCGGGAAATTGGTACTCGACTTGTCTGGGAAAAGTCACTCCCTGCATTTCAATTGGGAACGCTTCAACGCGGCTCTCTCAGCACTCCAGGGAGAACTGCTAGACCAGCATTCAAGGACATTTAAGATTAAATGAAAATCCTCAAGCAGCAACCGAACCCACACATAAAGTTGGAAGATCCTCGTGGACAGTGGATGCGAGAAAACGAAATAATGTAAGAAATGCTGGGATTCGCACAGCAGACGTGAAGACGGGTCAAATAAAATAGAAAAAAAATAAAAATAAAAAATAGAATTAGCAATAGTTCAAATAAATAGTGGGACGAAATAGAGGGGCATGTCCATTGTGATTTATGCATAATGACAAGTTGAACACCCGCCTTCATTTTCGTTGAAAAACCATCCACTTCTCGTATAATCGGAGAATTAATGAGGTGGTTCAGAACTTTCTTTTCGGGACACCTGGAATGACGCTGACTATACTACATTCACATCTACATCAACTTTGACTTGCCCGTGTTGTATGATTTTCAGCGGCTCTGGATGGGGAGCTACGCCTCCAATTCTTTCAGCGATACAATCGTCGACAAAGTAGTCCAAGCCAGTAGTCTTGCCCAGTACTGCAATCCGCATAATCTTCATAAAGTGTAATAAGATTAAGCGAGAGAATAAACACATTAAATTATGCTTTCCATATATAATATTCAGCAAGCATTACTGTCGATCGATGGTGTCCCTTTATTAACTATACCCTCCTAACAATGTGAGTGATCGCTTAAATCCGACTGCTTGTGAGCTAGCTCAGCCTTTCCTCCCTTTTATAGGTTGAGCATTGGTTTCTTCATCGGTCAAATCAGAAAGAACAAAAGCCACATTTTATTCTGCAACAAACTTCATGGATAAGCGGGCTGGGAAGAAGGAATGGATGCACGTCAATGAGGTTTTCATAGTTCTATAAATAAAAAAATAAAGTAATTTTTTATCCTTTTATTGTTGTTTTCACTCCTTCGTTAAGCCTTACGTGTCCACTTAAGCGTGACTTCGTCGCCGAGTAGCACTGTAGTGATAGCTCGTCCATTCTGAAGTATCTGCATTTGTATCCGCCCTGATTGAATCTCACCGCCATCATCATCACCCGTAGTAAGTCCATAACTAGAATGATTCCCTAAAGCCGTAACCTAAATTGTGCACGAAAGTTGTAATTGAGTCCATACAGATTATGAAAATCAAAACACAGATACTATTAATTTCGCGACTTTGCACTTAGAGTCTTTGCAGAGCAACCAGCTTTGTTATGAAGACTTACGCAACGAACGTTGAAAGAGGATGCAAAAAATCCAAGCGTATGCAGTCATATTTGATCAAGACCTCCTACGGCTTCAGCCGACCTGTTTCTTCGTTCAGCTTGCACAGAACATTTTGCTATATCCCAAATTTGGTCAGGAAAAGGCCGATAAATACGAGTTATGCTATGACCTTCACCAAATGTAAAAAACGTTTGATCCGGCTGCTTAGATGAAAAGTGTGTCACAGCTTCAACTTACAAGCATTTCTTCCTGAAATTTAAATTTAGCTGATTCAGAAACATGGTATGTTTGTCTGATATCGAACTTCGCATGTGCGAAAGCTAACGTACGTTGATGAACCTTTCGTCACTCCTACATTACAAAGACAAGTAACAATCAACGCTCTATGGGACGCCTTTTCACCACGAGAGAGATAAACGATCAAGAAAAATGCTGCAACATACTCTCTTTCCCTTGACAACATGTCCGTAAAGTCGCAAGTGACGTTGAAGAAGCGATTAGTGGAAGTGACTAAAGACGGTGAGTCCATCTCATTTTTCTGTACAGCGATGGAGAACGACCAAAATGACGGCGCCTAAAACATCTCCACTAGTTCCCAGCGGTATTCTTAAATGCTACACTATCTCCTTAAAATGGATCTTGTAGCACAGTGATTAGAGGTGCCTTGCAACGGACAATGGATCGATCTGGCGCCCTCGGCTCACTAAGCTTTCTATCTCTTCGGGGTTCGTAAATTTGCATCAGACCTCTCCGGGAGGTTTTCAGCACCGACTGGATACATCGATAGGCCACCGTCAGTCATTGTAAAGGTTAGATATGCACTCAGCCACCTCTGACGGTGCATGACAAAGTCGAATGCATTCTACATCCGTCAGGGATTGATCGACGCCAAGAGTTTTTTGTCATTTCTTGCAAACTGTTTCAACTTTGGGTAGGCAAACGAGAGCAAACTCTTTACATTACTTTAAATTTGCAAAGTGATCCCATTCACAGCCTGTTGGTTATTAAAATGTCTTTGGTTACTAAACAGAACGAAAGGAAGAGATATTATTTCTTATTCCTGCCAAACCGCTGCAGGGAATGACTTTATCCTCCACATGTGTGTAAACATAATCACGGATATGTGCAAGAATTTGCGGATTGACTATTTCGCTTCGAATCGGCCGAAATTCGCAATTGTGCAACTGAAGAGTAGACGAAAGAAGGGCTAGGGTCATCTTCAACAAATAAATCCTACGCCTACTATGAAAGCTTTGGCAAAGTGGCTCTGAGTTCCATAAACATAAATAAACAAACATAAGCCATAAGCAATGGAAATAGGTTTCCTAAAAAAAAATTTTAATAACCCATTATCTTTCAGGCTAACCAAGCCACTGGAATCTGTGGCATGCAGCAGGCGTGAATGGAGGTCGTAAGGACTCATTAATTTACGGACAAAGTGCGATAAATCGAAAATTTTAAATAGATAATTATTTGAAAGCACGAAAAATGCAACCGTTAAACTTATTGCTAAAGATGCTCAAGAGAGGAACCACCGAGGTAAGCAGTAAGCCTGCTCCACAAATCCTTACACAAATAACGAATAGGCCAACTAAACTACGCCTAAAAGACATAGCACCGAGTAAAAAGCAAGTGAACTTACGATTTCCATGCCCGGGCATCGTGGATCAGGGTCATCACTCCTTGGGAACGGAATATGCAACTCGGCATACGTGGCATTCTCGAACTCCAAACGACATGTCCCGAAGTTGTCCTTAACAGCTTGTTTGGCCATGTTCCCGTTATTGAAATATCTAGGACACAGATACCTTCACGTAAAGCGATCCTGATGTGGGAGAGGCGAATTCTAGACACACCGTAATTCCAGATCTTCGGCATTCCGACGTTAGTTCTTAAAAGAATTGACTTGGAAGAATAGACGCGTAAAAATAGAAACGATTTCGACGTAAATTTATCCTACTAAACTCATGCTTCTCTCTGCATTAGTGACACTATGGCCTATGGTCGATAAATAGCAACTTCATTTCTGCCTACAAAAGATGCCTATGGTTCTTTTTATGTTGAGTCTTTTCATGTGATAAGCACTATGGTCAGGAATAAATAGAAGCTTGACGAAAATGCTGGGAGCAGAGATTTTTAACAAAGGTAGCTTAACGAATTATGAAAAAAAAGTGCTCGTTAATGTTGTTGTGAGGATTGCCTCCTCTCTATCGCCAAAAAGTATGAAAACATTCGCTCCTCCTTTATAAAAAATATAAACGATGTAGAACTTCTGCACAATCACACAGAGTATGTCAACTCGTTGAAGCAGGTGTGACGCTACTACAGTCAACCTCGATTCCTCGACCACTGCATGAGCAAATTTCCTCAGACACTTCCAAACACTAGATCTCGACACTACAGTCGTAGAGAAAACAAATGTCAATTATTTAATGGGCGATTCATGGGAAGGATTTAAATGAAAATGCAAGCAGTTTGCTAGTCTTTTCCAAAACGGAAATGCAGAAACTTATTTTTCAAAAGGAAGGTTCAGCTGTTTTCATACAAACTGAACTGAAACGGCACGTAACTGAGACAAACATCTATCTATACGTTGGTAAACGTACACAAGCATGTGGATAGAACTCTGTACAAAGAAATCAACAATATGTGTTGCATTATACAAAATCTTTTAAGAAAGGATTATTAGCGGTGGTCCTTGTTGCGCCGCCAATCGACCACTTGAGCATTAACCATTCACATAATTTCTACCCTTGTTGGTGTGTCATCCCTCAAATGACACGAAATCCAACTAAGATGATGCTGAGATATTTGCAAAAATCCGGACCCCAGCTGTCTGCAGTGAGGAACGAACGCGCTATTGTCCTTTCCGGGGAGTAGCGCGTTCACCACCACACTGTGCGGGTCCTTCGTTTCGCCTGTCTCTCGGCTAGTTCTATCGACCGGCGCCATCAGCAATTGCCTGTCAACGGGACTGGTTAAGATTAGGAATAAAAAGGTTAAGATTGTGATTTCGACTTCAGCCTCAGCTTAACTAGGTTCGTTGCCAATTTGGGCTCCATAGATCAGCCCCGTTGACGGGTGACTGCTGATGACAAAAGATCAATAGAACTAGCTGAGAGACAGGCGAAACGGAGGACCCGCATGGTGTGGTGGTGAACGCGCTACTCTCCAGAAAGGACAATAGCGCCTTCGTTGCTCACCTCAGACACCTGGGGTCCGAAGTTTTGCAAATATCTCAGCATCATCTTAGTTGTATTTCACATGACACCCTACCGTTAAAAATTATAGTAGGCAATAAATAAAGAGGTTAAGATTGACAAAAAACCGTTTCCGCATGTGAAGATAAAAAAATAACTTTAGATTAAATCATCAGCAAAACGATCAGCAAAAAGACGATAATACGTGATGTTCCCTAGAAAGTTATTAGCTACTAATCCGAGGATAACCAAGCCTTCAGCGATTTTATGAGCATTCCTAGCATCTTTGAATAGTAGCGCAATGGAATCAGCGGCTCAACAAACACATGCGAATGAAAATATAACACTATAGAGAACTTCTCTCTTGAAAAGTTCTCTATCTATCTAAATAACAGTATTTGAAACCCAAATATGGCCGCCTCGCTGACGCACATCAAACACCGCAATGTAACCTTTGTAATCTTCTCGATCAATTATGTACAGTGTTTCAGGCACAATACCGATTCAGGTTTGACTCCAGTAGCATAGGGACGATGGCTTATCCGATGGAGGCGTAACAGTGGAACAGTTTACTACTTCCTTGCGAAACAACGAAGCTAATGACGTTTAATGTTTCAGGCAGTTAGGTACAGTCTGCTGCGGTCCAGGATCAACAATCCAGATTAACCGCGGTTGCATACGCACGCGGCTCCCGCAGCCGATGTAAGCAAGGTGCCTTCGAAGGCGGAGACATGCCATCACTCACCTTACCCCCGATCGGTAGCGCGAATAATCCGCTCCTCACAACCACATCCTCAATCATCCTCAATCACCTCATCTCATTCTTAGTCATACTCATTCATTCTTATTCAATCACATTCATTCACACATTCATATTCATCGTTCAGTAATCAGCAGATTATTGTATCTTGTTTCTCAGCTTGTCTACGGTGCGATGTCAGTAGTGGCAGGTGTTTCGAAATGCGTTCTGTTTGCAACGCCATCGGTGGCATGTACCATTCCTCCCACAATGTATGCAATGCGTACAATGCCGCTAAGCGGCCAACTTATGCTATGCATTCTGCTAAGCCGCTATAGGCTTATCAGTTTTGTAGCCATTTATCATACTGGCCCTTACCCTTAGGCAATGGTGGCACCCATCGATGCTCAAAGTTCACGTTGCTGACATAGCGTTATTCACGACCAGCCGCCTGACTGTGTTCCGTAGATGACTCATCATTCACTGTCCATAGCACCGTCAACGCTCATGTAACCTACAGTCCTCATCGATCCACTAGAATGCTCCTCATCGCTATAATGTTGAAACCTTAGCTTGGCCGAAACACGGCCAGTCTGTAACCCTCACCACCTCAGCATACTGTCTCCCTCTCCGCGGCATACAGTCTCCTCCCTCCGCCCCCAGCATACTGTCTGCCTCAGCAGCCGCGCCGGCTCCGAATAGACGCGGCGCGGCATCGCTTACGGCTACGCAAAGGCTACTTCGTTGTAATCTCATTATTATTGTTAATATTGTGTTAATGGTATAATAATGTTTGAATGCCATTGCCTCATTGTTAGCCTCACTTCACTACAGGCCTTAGCATCTCAGAGCTCTAACTTGTGTCATTCCTCTACCTTTACTTCTCTATCGTTACTATCATGTCATTAGTGTTGTATTTATGTATTAAAGGTTTAATTACCCAAGTTTTGAGCTGGTAGATCAACTACAACAACTAAAAGACCTGCGTGGCTAATACTCTACATCAATCTGAACAGCTACACTTCGCCGCTAACCATTTCGTTACAAACACAGTAAAATAGAGATTTTTACCCTCGTGTTAAATTCGTTTCCTGCAAAGCCCAAAAATCTTGAAAAGTGTATTCCAAAATTAATTCCTGCTGAATAGGTTATCAGTAGAACTTACTTGCTTTCACCAACGTGTGCCCTCTGTTCATAACATTATCAGTGTCATCGGCGACTGTGTCTTCAACTTCGAATTCATCCTCATAAACGTCATTCCACTGATCAGGTGAACGAGACGAAGGAGTAGACAGATGGATAGCTTTCGAAACTTCCCTGATATCAGCCAGGTTCGACGACGGCTAAAGTTAAATGCAGTATTTGAGCACTTTTCACGAAGGGATTTCACGACTTTCAGATAAAAGGCACTTATTAGTTGCATAAAAATAACAACAACAACAAACCACATGATCGTCCACGACGCTTTGCATGTCGACAAACTCTTCCAGCGGAACACCGTCGACACCGTGGAGTGGTGATTCGTCACCAGCATGATGCTTCGTTGCAATAAAGTCGTCACAGACCACCTCGAAATAGTCCACGTTTTCCGCCGCTATGAACAGTTCAGGATGAGTGAACTGAGATCGTTCGAACAATAGACAAAGATCCTGCAATTAAAATCTTGCAAGCGGAAAGATTTTTTCACGAAGTGGTTAAAAGCGTGTAGGTTCTCCATCCGACGTTAGAAAATTCGAAATCATTGACTGCTTCTTTTAAAAAAATGTAACCAGTTCATTTCTACCTCACGCAATCGAATGTGTCAATTTTATGCCTACAAATACTTCCCCCTAAGGAGGTCAAAACACGCAACCATGTAGATGAGTGATTTGATTATAATCGGACCTAGATATAAAACGATAAGGAATCAAGCATTCGGTTTGGATCAATCCTTGAAGGATGCGCCGTGCATTCGACTTGGTCGTGCAGCCCAAAGTGGATTCATATGATCCAAAGCATGATTCGCAGCTACCTACTGAAATGATGGGCAAATGCTTTTGTTCTTCCAGACAACTCCGGCATCAATTTGCCGACCCTTGAGGAGTGAAAGGCTTGGTGGAGTTTGAGCAAGGAGAACCAAAGGTGGAACCAGTAACCAGAGAGAGTAACCTTTAACCCCTGGGCTAACCACGAGAGACTACACATCCACAAAGAAACGGCCACCGGATGCGTCTTTCGACGTCGATCTCCGAATAGAATGCGAGCACTTCTTTGTCGGCTGTGGGTATTCTGCTTCTGCAACAATAAAAATTTTCTAGCCACTAGAGTACTTTTCAGGGATCATCCTCACGCAGAGATCTCCAGCCGGTTATTCGTGATGCAACATGGTGCGTCCACACTTGGAAGATATGGGATAATCGCCGACCAAAAGCGGCCTCAAGCTTCTCTGACAAGCAATTAGATCCAGAGAATAGACTTCCTGTTTCTGCAGCGCTGATTTGACACATATCTTCTCTGACTAAGAAGATATATTCATATGCGGATGCCTGAGTATGTTGTCGCCTACGCGTATTGTATTCTACGGGTCGATTCGGACAAATGCCTGCAAATTATGGCGAAGTGTATGGTAGGCGGTTAAGAGTTGTCTCCAATAAATAAGCAACTCACCTACTCTGGGAGAGACTGGAAAGTTACCCGTGAGCATACCCAGCACCCACGTTTAGAGTTTAGACGGCTTTGACAATCTTCGTCGTTTACTCACAGATATCAAACTACGCCGAAGAAAAAGTCAAAGAGTTTTCTATGGACCTGAAGAAGCTCTACAGAAAAGATCATGCATTCCTTATAGTCGTCATTGGAGAGATTAAGCCTTGCAACACACATGGGATCGGGATCCGCGCTCTTGGCTCACCAAACCTTCCATCCCTCCGGAGTCGGTAAATTGGTACCGGACTTGTCTGGGAGGATAGAAGCACTGGCTCGATATATCAGAAGGCCACCGCAAGTCATTATAAAGGCCAGGTATACATTCAATCAACTTTAAAAGATGCTTAATGAAGTCGACTGGATGGCGCATCCCTAGAGGATTAATCAACGCTGGGTTCTTTGTCCTTTATCCTTTTTTTTCATCTTTTTTTTGCAGTCGGACAAGTAAAACATCTCCTCTAGAGAACAACGATATGATGTATTTGGTTTAACGGTGAACAAGAGTGTTTGGTGTGAGTCGTTTCATTTCTTTGAGTATGTAACTGTGACCATTGTCGAGAAAGACACGTGTTTGGCGACCATCACTAGAAATAAATGAGAAAGATGTGGTTCGGGGCGCCAACTTCGAACTTCGACAGAATTTCAATTCAGTCAGATAATTGATTAAGATGGTTTAATAATTTCGAGCATTACTGAACTGACACGAGGTTGGGACAAAAAAACGTTTATTCAGCCGAAGTTTTGTTTTCAATTTTTTTTTTTGTTGTTTAATCTGTTCTCCCTCACATAAGGGATCTCGAGCCGGTTGCGTCCCCAGGTGGCGGATAGGGTTTTAATCGCGGACCAAAAGAGACCTTTGCTTCCCTGAGGCGCAAGTGAATCCAGGGGATGGACTCCCTGTTTCTCCTGCGCCGAATTGGCACATACTTTCTGTATTTACGAGGCGCATTCATGCATGCGTGTGTGGGTGCGTTCTTGCTTATGCGGATTGTATTCTACGAGTCAATTCGGCCAAAAGCCTGCAATCAAGTGACAGAGAAATATATGGAAGGCAGTTAGGAGTCTCCTCCAAGAAATAAGCTCCTTGTCCACTCTGGGAGAGTCTGGCAAGCTACCCGTGAGTATACCCAGCCCCACGTTCAGAACCCTGTACTCTATACGTGAGTATCAAAAAGTGCTAAACACAATAAAAAGAACGGGCCTCATTCCCCTGACCCCGAAAGAGCCCCAATTTCGCATCGTTGGGCGAGTATGGAGAGGCAACTAAAATCTCAGAACCAATGGATGCTGCCTGGATTTCAAAGAACTATGGTGACGATCTGTACCTACAATGCACGTACACTTGCATCCGAGTCCTCGATAGAAGATTTGCTCATGGAAGTAAGAATGATAAAGTACGACGTCATCGGCCTAAACGAGACGAGAAGACGCCAGCCTTTCAAAGCCGTCTATGACACCGGAGAAGAACTGTTCCTCGGAACATGCAACAGTAGAGGAGTCGGGGGCGTCGGCGTTCTCGTCAACACGAGTTTGTCCATGAACATCGATTCATTCGAACAGCTTACAACCCGAATCGGACGTTTACGGTTAAAAAGATGTGGATCAATTCCGGCTTCGACAACCTTCGTTGTTTACGCGCCGACATCAAACTATGACGAGGAAGTCGAAGCGTTCTATATGGACTTAGCTAAGTTCTACAGAGAAGACCACACATTTTTTAATGTCATCATTGGAGATTTCAACGCTAAGATTGGTCCAAGAAGAACGTCTGAAGAACGTTACACTAGAACCCATCGATATGAATGGAACAAACAGGGTGAGCTGCTATCTTAGTTTATCATGGCAACCAAGACAATCCATGGTTACTCGCAATTCCAGAAGCCCCACCCTGAATGCTGGACGTGGGAGTCTCCCAATGGAGAGTACCATAACGAAATAGACCACATCATAGTAAATAGAAGGTTCTATAAGAAGTAAATAGAATAGAAGAAGAAGGAAGAATAGAAGTTTTGCGTAACCGATGTCGCTGTTGTCCCAAAATTCTAGACGGGACCAGACCATCGTCTCCTTTGTGCAAGATTCCGTTTCTTGCGGAAAGGAGAAAAAGCCGCTAAACTGCAAAACCGAAGTCCCAGCACCACCGTAAACTGGAATTTATTCAATTCATTAGGCGGCTGTTGAGAAGATCCTGTTGTCGATAACATCGACGAAGGATACGATCGGCTCATTCAACATCTTCACGCTAGCGCTATGAAAGCTGAGAGTTCGAAAGTCACCAAGAGACGTCTGTCTCCAGAAACACTCGAGCTGATACGCCAGCGTGGAATCGCACGAGCTGCAGGCTACAGCGAACTAACGTGCGAACTTGCAAAACAATGCAGACAGGCAAGGAAAGAATATCTTAAGGAGAGAAGAGCAGCAGTAATCCGAAACTGCAGAGGCCGGGAAAAGTATTCGCAAGGCACACCGAAGACACAGGAGCAAAACGATTGTTCTCCGGCGCCCAGACGGAACAGCTACAGCGTCCAGAAAGGCAATGGAGAAAATCATTCACGAATACTACTCGGATCTCTTCGATAGCCACGTCCACCTTCCCTCATATGAAATAAAGGAGGATGGATATGTTGTACCACCGGTTCTCCCTTCCGAAATCCGACTTGCCATTTCGTCGGCGAGAAATCGAACAGCCCCAGGTCCGGATAGCATAAGTCCAGAATACTTGAAGAACCATCCACCAGTCCTCGTAAACACACTGACTCGGCTGCCTTCACACGTTACCTGTCTGAATACAAGGTCCCTACTCAGTGGAAGACCAGCAAGACCGTGTTATTGTTCAAGAAAGGTGACCTGCACGATATCGGCAACTATCGCCTAATCTGCTTACTGTCTGTCGTCTAAAAACTTTACTCGAGTCATCCTAAACAGGATTGACAGAACACTAGACGAAGGACAACCATATGAGCAAGCAGGGTTTCGAAGAGGATTTAGTACGATGGACCACATCCACACGGGAACATGGCTGAAGTATCGCGAGACTACAAAAGATCGCTCTGTTTTATTTCCATCGATTTACAGAAGGCCTTTGATTCAGTTGAGATGGAAGCAGTCTGGGAAGCCCCTGATAGTTAGGGAGTCCCTACACAGCACATAGTGGTTGTTCGTGAGCTGTACAAAAATTTCACAACCAAGATAGCACCATTCTACAACGACATTAACATTGACATCAAAAGAGGAGTTAGGCAAGGCGATACCATCTCGCCAAAATTATTTCCCGCCACCCTCTAGAATGTCATGTGATCATTGGAATAGGATAATGTGGGAGTGAAAATCGACGGTCGGCAGTTACATCACCTTCGCTTTGCTGATGACATCGTCCTTACAACACCAAGCATTAGCCAAGCGGAACGTATGCTTGACGATTTCGATAAAGCCTGTGGAAAGATTGGTCTTCGATAGAACTCACAAAAACGATGTCATTGAAGAACTGATTGGTTTCGCATGCTCCATTCACGTTCAACGGAAGGAATATCACCGAATGCTCCAGTTATATCTATCTAGGTCGGGAAATCAATATGATGAACGACCTAGCTCTAGAGCTGAGCAGAAGAAAACGAGCGGCTTGGGGAGCTTTCAAGAGCATCGAGGATGTAGTGAAGAAAACAAAGAACACCCGACTCCGTGCCCACCTTTTCGACTCAGCGGTACTTTCTGCCCTGCGTCAGAAACCTGGTCGCTGCGTAAGCAGGATGAAAGAACACTCAGCGTTATCGAACGCCCAGTCGAAAGGACGATGCTAGTAGTATCACGTACCACATAAGCAAGTGATGGGATCCGAAGCTCCGATCTGCGTTAACGATCAAAAATCAAAGATGCCATTTTGTACGCTAAACATTCGAAGATAGGGTGGACCGGACACGTAATGCGTATGAATGACAACCGATGGACAAGAGCCGTTAGTGACTGGATTCCTCGGGATGTCAAACGCACTGCAGTAAGACCGCCGATCCGATGGTCAGAGTTTTTCGCAAAGAGCCTTGAAGAAAGATATGATGCTCGACGAGTCCCTAGAGCGAGCAGAACCCACTGGGCTACTCTTGCACTCGACAGGGAAAAATGGACGATTTACGGGCGCCCGCTCCAGTCACTCGACGATTAAAGGGACTACAGGTGATACAGGTTTAATTTGTTATTTATACTATATTGTTTTGCATTTTTTCATCGAATAAAGGTGTTAATACCGCTTCGTGTCAGCTCGTATCGAAAATTATTGATTAATTCTATCGACGCTTAACTAAAGTCGGTTTTTGCGGCAAGAGGGTTCAGCAAGAAATTCGATCCACACTGCATGTCAACATTAACTTGGTCAGTACTTACATAAAAATGTCCTGAATAGGACTTCCTGCATCACAGAACAGTTTGTTTCTTTACCAAGATCCACATTTTATATGTAAATATCTCATCCTTGATAAGAAATATGATCTCTCAGAGCATTTTTTCCCAAGGCTCCTTCTCTCGATCCCAACACTTCAATTACACTGAGCACTAGTGAGTTGACGATGGAAACAGTCTCTAACTTAGTGAAAATAATGTTATCGCTAGGTGAACTCGCACTTTTCCCCACTGTAAGAAGAATATCGAATCTAACAAGAGGTCTAATTGATGTATTACTATTCCTAAAGCTGAGCATTCGTATCCAAGGATTCTGGTGTTTTCAATTTTTCGAATTTCCTGAATATCTGTTTAGGAGTCACTCCTCACAGGCTCATTGAGTTCTATCACTGCAAATTATAAAGTGGAATACCACTCTAGTTGATGGGTATTCAAAACCTCAGATTCTTCCAACACCAAAGTAGATCTACGAACCGAGACCTCAGTTAAGAATAATTTTAGGCTTTTGGAACTTCTATCGCATCCTCTGTAATATTACTACTGCCCCAAAATTCTTCAAGAACGACTTGAGAAGGAATGCAACTTTTTCGCAGAGTTCAAAACTAGTTATTACTTGAGCATTTAAATCCACCAGAACTTATTGTTAGCTTTTGTATTGACTGAATAATTAACGAAAAATAATTTTGACTCTCTTGACTAGATGAAATCGTTAACACTCATATTATTTGAGATATCTGACATGTTGATGTGACCTTTTCGTAGTTGTACACGGCGCTGACACACTGGGATCCGTCCTCCAGACACGCAGCCAGGCAGCTGTTTACACTGGAGGTGCCGAATTCCTAAAGATGGATTCTTCGGGATTATTTTAAGAAGCAAATGATGATTATGAGGGCTGGACTCTTACAGGGTTTTCTTCATAGGAATGCAAGTTATCTACATGTTCTTAAAAAGACTAGTTCATTGGCTTTAAGGAGTAAAATGCAACACCTCTTGATAGGCTTCTGAGCAGTGAGCTTGTGCTTCATGGAAACTACGGTGAAAATAGCCTGATAGGAATGAAAGCAAGCAAGTAGATTCCATTATGTTGGTGGCAAGATGATTCAAATTACGGAAAAATGCTCAAACACGAACAATCAATGTTCAATCATTGTTCAATCATTTTCTTTGCACATGTTGTTTCCGCAAGGGCCATTGTAATCTTCTCTATATTGTTCCAATTTTCTATCACATGTTCAGGAATGAACAAAGGTGTGTAGGGCCCGTGTGGCGCAGTGGTCCGAAGCACTTTGCAACACACACATGAGATCGATCCGCTCCCAAGGCCCACCAAGCCTTCCTTCCCTCCGGGCTCGGTAAATTGGTACCAGATTTGTCCGGGAGGATACCAGTATTGATTCGATACATCGGTACGCCATGGCGAATCATTCTAAAGGCCAGATATGCATTCAATCACCTCCAAACGATGCATAATAAAGTAGAACGCATGGCGGATCCCTCAGGGATTTGATTCAAAGATTGATCAATCCAAAGAGCTTTATTCTTTTATGCTGTTTAGAGGTCCTCATCTCTTCTCTTCCATTCTGCTTTCAATTAGAACTAATTTTCAAACCGGAAGTTTCAAGAATTTTTAGTGATGATTTTACAACCGCTATGACATGCAAGAACATTAGAACTGTCTGAGTTGAGGTTCACATTCTACCTCATTTACCTAAGTGACTTGGATAATCCCACACAGATCATCATAGACCCGGCAACTCTCTTATCTTCACAAAACACTCTAGCGACTGATATGTTGAAATTTTTTACCCAGCAGCCTAGTGATTCCAATTTTTTTCACCATAACAAAGCGAGAGTATGATGACGGACACGGAATTGTTTACCAAAAGGGGATATGAAATGAATAATCAAGCAAAAAGACAATATCTACTTCATGTTAAGCTCACTAAAATCTTCTCCAAAAGTCACAATTAAACTTTCAACTCTCGAAATGAAGAATAAATCTGCCGGTGGAATTGTTAATGTAGGCCGTTACATTTATCCAGATATGAATATTAGTGCTTAACAAAAGTTAGCCTTGAAATAACAATGAAATGAAAGTGTTTTTTTAAACTGAAACAAATGAGGTTTTTTCAGCTATACCAAATCCTTCTTCAACAAATCTTTTTCTCGTCTTCAGTTTGCTTGGTTAGGAAAAGCCATACCTCGTGTGGCTTGACGTTCATGGTTCGACCAGGTACCTGCTCGAACGTTGCACTGAGGCAAGTGAACGGTGCTGAAATGAAGAACGCAGATTCCTGAACTGTGATGTTTTCTTCGTGTTTCTACTTCTACTGATAAAGGATAACCACTGACAAGTTTTTTTACCAGCAAGGAATGCTTTCTTTTGAGAGATATAAGGGGCACTATAAGGGGATTCCTGTTTTAAACAAGCCCTTATAGCA